CGATGCTATTTCCATGATAGATATTGTACGTAATAACTAAAAGTCTCCTGATGTAAAATGAAACAATAGAGTTCCAGTGTGGAGCGTTCATGATGTCATCACTGTGGATGCTATGGGGTAGGTTGTAAATAATTCTAGTAGCTCTTAAATGAATTCGATCAATATCATCCGTCAAGGTTGAAGAACAAGACCCCCAGACTACAATGCCATACAAAACGCTAGGGATAATAGTTTTATAATAAATGTTTTCTAAGGTTGGTATCGGTAAAAACTTTATCCGATTCAGTACTGCGACTTTGTTGCTGAATGACTTACAAACGTTCTTTATGTGCTCCTGCCATGATAGCTTGCTGTCAATTGTCACCCCAAGACATTTAGATGATGATTTGTACTCAATAAAGCTATTACCAAGGGCCAAACGTGGCAGGGGGCCAATAAAGTTCTGGCTAGAAATTCAATGGGCGGGGAGCTTGATGTTCAATGAAATCTGTGATATACACGCTCCCTTTAAAAAAATAAAAATGCGCAGTAATAGCGACCCGTGGATTATTAATGAGATAAGGAGAAAGATGAATTACAGGTAAAAGCGTTGTAAGTCCGCCGTGAATACCAAAAACGAAATTGCCTGGGCGAATTACAAGGAAGTTAGGAATGAAATAACGGGCGACTAAGACGAGCAAAAAGTAGATTCTTTCATGGAAAAATTAATTCCGCAAAATCCACTGCCGCGTATTGGAAGGTTCTCTCTAAAGCGGCGAACCTAAAAGGATAGGACCAATAAAGCGGGATGATAAAACGCTTGCTGTTCGTTACGACGAAAAAGCGAACCTGATTAACGCTTTCTTCGCAACTGTGGGAATAGAGGTTTCAAGAGATCCCAGTTGTACACGAAGGGTAGCGAGTAAGGATGGCATACCAGTACAAACGATTTCTTCCTTTTCAATTTCTGAGGAGTCGGTATCCAGGAAATTAAGGCCCTAAAACCAAACAAAGCTGCTGGACCAGACTGGATTACCCCCAAGTTGCTACGGTTAGCCGAGCGAGTAATCGTCTCGCCGATTACCAAGCTGTATGCAAGGAGCATTAACCAAGGAGAGCTCTACAGTCAATGGAAGAAAACTTACTTAAGCTCGGTATTTAAAAAGGACGATCCAAGTGACAAGAGCAACTAAAATCTTGGAATCGTGTATATCTAACACAGTGTTGAAACATGTAACCGAATGCAATCTTCTGACAGAGAAGCAATGGGCCTACCGC